ATCCAAGGAAGCAGATGGAAAGCCTACTTCATTTCTGAAGATTCATAGCTTCTTTTTTTAAAATTCAATGCACAGGAATGTAAAATGGCTCTGTTGCTGTGGAAACTGGTTTGGCAGTTTCTCAAAAAATTAAACACCATAAAATTACCATATAACCCATCAATTCCATTCATAGGTGACATACCTTCAAAGAATTGAAAACAGATGCTTAAACAAATACTTGTACATGTATGTTCATAGCAGCACTATTCACAATAGCTAAAAGGAGGAAACCATCCAAATGTCCTTGAATAACACACTGTGGTATATACAATGGAATATTGTTCAGCCACAAGAAGAAATGAAGTAATGATTCATGCTACATCATAGATGAATCTTGAAAACATGCTAAATGAAAAAAGCCTGACACAAAGGGTCCCGCTGTATGATTCCATTTATATGAAATATTCAGAATAGGTAGATTTCTATAAATAGAAACCATATTGGTGGTCGCGGGGGCTGAGAAGAGGGAAGAATGGGGAGTAACCGCTAAATGGGTATGGTATTTCTTTTGGGATGGTGAAAATCTTTTGGAACTAGATGTAGTGGTTGCACAACAATATGAATGTACTAGATGCTACTGAATTGTTCACTTTAAAATGGTTAATTTTATGAGATGTGAATTTTGCCTCAATTAAAAAAAAAACCTATCATCTACAAACATTAAATCTTTACTTTTAATGTGATTCTCTTGATTAAAGAAAACTAGCTTTTCAGCCAGGCACGGTGGCTCCCACCTGTAATCCCAGCACTTTGGGAGGCCGAGGCGGGTGGATCATGAGGTCAGGAGTTTGAGACCAGCCTGGCCAAGATGGTGAAACCCTGTCTCTACTAAAAATACAAAAAAAAATTAGCAGGGCATGGTGGCGGGCGCCTGTAATCCCAGCCACTTGGGAGGCTGAGGCGGAGGATTGCTTGAACCCGGGAGGCAGAGGTTGCAGTGAGCTGAGATCGTGCCACTGCACTCTAGCCTGGGTGACAGAGCAAGACTCCATCTCAAAACAAACAAACAAACAAACAAAAATACAAAAACAAAACAAACAAAACTAGCTTTTTAGGAAATCAGATTAAAGCTTGTCATAAAACACCAGTTGAATTGACTTAATTCTGTGGTCCAGGCTTTTTGTTTGTCTCATAAACAGCCTTAGGAAGAAGCTGTGACTTGCCCACATTCTGAAAACATCTAAGAAGATACTGTTATCTGGAAATCTGAATTTCTTTAAAACTCTGTGTTTAGGTCTTCACTGGGGAGCTCTCATGGACCAAAGGGTATCCCTTGTCTCAAAAATTCATGCTCTTGGTTTCAAAACTTCTGGCCATGTCTCTGAGGCAACAGAGTGAGACTCTGTCTTAAAAATAAATAAATAAAAAATTGAAGATACTACTTTCCCCAAAAGGACAGAGGAGAAGCATGCCAAAAGGAGGAAAGGAAATTATTATATCAAAAAGATACCTGCGCACGTATGTGTATTGCAGCACAATTCACAATTGCGGATATGGAATCAACCTAGGTGACCATCAGCTTGTGGATGAAGGAAAGTGTGGTGTATACAGGTCAAGCATAGTGGCTCATGCCTGTAATCCAGCACTTTGGGAGGCTGAGGCAGAAGGATCCCTTGAAGCCAGAAGTTTGAGACCAACCTGGGCAACAAAGTGAAACCCTGTCTCTATTTTTAAAAAAGTGATGTATATATACCATGGAATACTACTCAGCCATAAACAAGAACCAAATAATGTATTTTCAGCAGTTTGGATGGAACTGGAGGCCATTATCCAAAGTGAAGTAACAGGAACAAAAAACCAAATACCGCATGTTTTCACAAGTGGGAACTAAGCTATGGGTATGCAAAAGTATACAGAGTGGTATAAAGGACACTGGAGACTCAGAAAGGGGGAGGATGGGCTGGGCACAGTGGCTCATGCTTGTAATCCTAACACTTTGAGTGGATCACTTGAGATCAGGAGTTCAAAACCAGCCTGGCCAACATGGTGAAATCCCATCTCTACTAAAAATACAAAAAAATTTAGCTGGGCATGGTGGCATGCACCTGTAATCTCAGCTACTCGGGAGGCTGAGGCAGGAGAATCGCTTGAACCCAGGAGATGGAGGTTGCAGGGAGCCAGGATCATGCCACAGCACTCCAGCCTGGGTGACAGAGCGAGACTCTGTAAATAAGAAAGGGGGAGGGTGAAAGGGGGATGAGGGGTGAAAAACTACCTATTGGGTACAATGTACACTATTGGGGTGACTGGTACACTAAAAGCCCAGACTTTACCACTCTTCATCCATGGAACCAATAACCATTTGCACCCCTAAAGCTAGTGAAATAAAAAAGTTTTTTAAAAATTAAGGAAATAAGAGAATAGGAAAAATCAGCATAAGAGATGTGAAAATGTCACAAGTAGCTAGAGACTTCAGGTTTTGAAAACGTACCAGAAATCTGAATTTTTCTTAATAAAAAGATAAAAGAATACTCTAGTGGTATTTAAAAATGCCAAACAATGGATATATTTGGAACCTAGAAAAAACTTGTTATTGTTTGAGAAATAATCTTCTGGAGGAGTGAAAATGGTGGGCAAGTAATGTAACTGATTTACTGAAACATTCTTTAATAAACACTCAGGATCAGACTTACAGAGGAGGAATGATCAAAGACCCTGAAAGCTGTCCTTAGATTTCTTCTATGTGATACCCATACCCTTAGAAGGTTGGCAGGTATAACACAGAGCTGAGGCCTTAACACACTCTGGTTACATCAGGTCTTTGAAACCCTGTGACTATCCCTGAATACAGAACACATTTTTATCTTCCTGGTTAAGATATTAAAAATATGCTGTTCATAGGAAATGCTGCCATATTGCTATGGTCATACCAAACAGCTAGCAATTCCTTCCTCTGCTCCCCTGCTCGTCTTTGTATCTTCAAAAAAGTCACCTTAAATACAAAGATTTAGTGTGTGTACATGGGCTTTTTAAAATTTTTCTTTTGAAATAATGATAGATTTATAGGAGGTTGCAAAGAAATGTCCAGGAAATTCTCACGTACCTTTTTCTCAGCCTCCTAAATATAAACATCTTACACAACTGTAATATAATATCAAAACCAAGAAATTGACACTGGTCCAAAACATACAGTTTAATCAGATTTCACCAGTTACATATGCACTTGTGTGTGTGTGTGTAACTTTATACAATTTTGCCACATCCATAGCCTTGCATAACCACAACCACAATCAAGAGACTATACTACCATCACAAGACTCCCTAGAGCTATTCCTCTACAGCCACATTCATCCTCTCCCCATATCTCTAACCTCTGACAGTTCCTAATCCTGTTCTTCATCTCTATAATTAGGTTAGTTTTTGGATGTTACAAAAATAGAACCATGTTGTATGTACCCTTTTGGGACTGGCTTTTTTTTTTTTTTTTTCACTCAGCATAATTTCCTTGAGGTTCCTCCAAGTTGTTGCCTGTATGAAGGGTTTGTTGCATTTTATGACTGGATCGTATTCAATGGTATGGATGTCCCATAGGTTCTTTAACCATTCACCATTGCAGGACACTTGGGTAGCTCCCAGTGTTGGACTGTTATGAATGAAGCTGCTGGGAGTCAGTCTTCGTTTCCTCTGGGGCACCATGAGTAACACCAAGAGTGCCCTTGATGGATCATAGGATGAGTCCATGCTTAGTTTCAAAAGGAACAGCTGGGTGCTTCTCCAGAGTGGATGCAGTCTTTTAAGAGAGAAAGTACTCTCTTTCAGAAATACTAACCTTGCCGAAGAAGCCTCCCACATTTCTCTAAATAAATCTTTTTTTTTTTTTTTTTTTTGAGACGGAGTTTTGCTCTTGTCGCTCAGCTGGAGTGCAATGGCACAATCTCAGCTCACTGCAACCTCCGCCTCCCGGGTTCAAGCGATTCTTGTGCCTCAGCCTCCGGAGTAGCTAGGATTACAGGCGCCTGCCACCATGCCCAGCTAATTTATGCATAAACAAATCAATTTTTAAAAGAAAAGGGAAATACAATGATTTTCTTAAAATATTGAGTTTTAATATACTGTATTTTAAATTTTATTTGGAACTCAGACATTTAATTTTTCTAATTTCTCTGTCATGATTCAGATGTCAAAAAGCTGATCCTGTGTAGTTTGTGATTTCACGGCATGCTAAATATAGCAGAATGGTGGCGTTGGTTGTGAGTGATAATGGCTCAGAGATAAAAATAATTGTTTATGGGGTACTTTGGTTAAAAGAATCATGAAAACAATATTTTCAAAGAAAGACTAAGAAGACAATATAATTGTCTCTTTTTGCCCACTAAATTCTAAATGAGCTGCTCATGTTCTCTCATGATTCAGTAGCACAACCCCACCTTCATACAGTCGAACTGTGGCTGCTGCTAGCCTCAACACCCTCTTTTTCTTTTTTCTTTCTTTTTTTAAAATAGATACAGTGTCTTGCTATGTTGCCCAGACTGGAACTCCTGGGCTCAAGTGTCCTTCTGCCTCAGCCTCTCAAATTGCTGGGATTATAAGTGTGAGCCGCCACACCACCTTCAACCCTCTCTTAAGACTAAAAAATAATGAAGGCGGGAATGAAGGAGGTGGAATGTTTAATACAGCTCAGAAATACAGACATTAATGAGACAGGTAGAAGATAAGTTTGGGAAATAGAGTATTCAGCATAAACGAACCTGTTTCTGGTTATCTTGTGTTTTTATTCTTTAAGTTTAAACTTTAAAAGTTCTGTTCATCTTCTCACTTCCTTTGACCCTGTCTCCTTGTTACTTTTCCTCTGCCCTGGAAATCATAACTGACTGAGAAGTAAGCTTTTCCCTTCATTGGCTTATCACTGGCAAGCTATTTTAATGTAAACATCACCTTAAACTCATAAAAATGATAATTTTGAAGGTCTCGGTGCTTCTTTTCAAATCTTCATTCACTTTCTCTTATCTCTTCCACAGGGAAGGTTATCAATTTACTTCTAAGAATTCCCCAAAAGGAACAAATGGAAAATACAATTTCATCTGCTTCATTTGCAATGTCACAAATATGGATCATTTTCATAAAATTCATCCCATACTCCTGGGATGAAAGAGTTGATGAGGTAATGTGCAGAGGACCTTCATTGGCAGTTCTGATATCAGATGTACAGTTTTCTATAATCAGTTATTTGTAGATTATTTTCAACTCTACTAATGTTTCTTATGCATCTGAGGAAGACAAAAATATTTGCTGTGTGGAAGCTGGAAGGAGGAAGCCTAGGACATGGAGAACATGTATCAAGCCTGAAACTGGGCCTATTTTTGTTTTTTTACTATTTAACCAAAATTTGAACCAATCAGAAAATTACAGAAAAACTGAGAGTGTAGTTTAAATAAACCTTTACCCCTGAACTGTTTGAGAATAAATTGCCAGCGTGCTGGTCCATCACCCTGGAATAGTTTGTATTTCCTACAAAGACACTCATCTATAAAACCACAATACAATCATAAAAGTTAGGCAGTAAACACTGATACATTACTATCGTCTAATTCACAGAGCCATTCATGTTGACAGTTGTTTCAATAATGTCCTTTATAGCAAAAGGATTCAACCCAGGATTTTGCACTGCTTTTAGCTGTCATGCTTCTTTTTTGTTTTGTTTTGTTTGAGACAGGGTCTCACTTTGTCACTGAGGCTGGAGTTCAGTGGGGTGATCTTGGCTCATTGCAGCCTCGACCTCCTGGGTTCAAGCAATCCTCCTGCCTCAGCCCCCCTAAGTAGCTGGGAATACAGGCATGTACCACCACACCTTGCTAATTTTTGTATATTTTTTAGAGATGGAGTTTTGCTGTGTTGGCCAGGCTGGTCTCGAACTCCTGAGCTCAAGTGATCCACCTGCTTCGTCCTCCCAAAATGCTGGGATTGCAGGTGTGAGCCACCACGCCCGGCCTCATGTCTCTTTTTTCTTCAATCTAGTACAGTTAGTCTTTCCTCAAATCTCATCCCTTAGCACATTTGAAAGTTCCAAGCTAGCTATTCTGTAGGATGACCCGCCATTTTAGTTTGTCTGATGTTTTATTATGATTAGATCCAGATTATGCATCTTTGGCAGGAACATCGCAGAAGTGATACTGTGTTCTCATTGCATCCTATCACGTGGGGTAAGATTTTTTAAAGAAATAGATTGTGTTTTTTAGGTTCACAGCAAAATTGAGCAGAAGGTACAGGGTTCACATATATCCGCTGCCTTACACATGCCTAGCCTTCCCCATTGTCAACATCCCCCACCAGAGTGCTACATTCATTACAACTGAGGCCCACATTGACATATCATCACCTAAAGTCTACAGTTTACATTAGGGTCCAGTCTTGGTGTGATGCATTCTACGAGTTTGGACAAATGCATAATGACATGTACCCATAATTATAGTGTCGTACAGAATAGTTTCACTGCCCTGAAAAAGCCCTGTGCTCTGTCTGTTCATCCTTCCCTCTCCCCTAACCTCTAGTGTCCACCGATCTTTTTACTGTCTCCATAGTTTAGGCAAGATTTTCATTTGCCCCATTATTGATGATGAACATTTTTTTTTTTTTTTTTTGAGATGGAGTTTCACTCTTATTGCCCAGGCTGGAGTGCAGTGGCATGATCTCAGCTCACTGCAACCTCCGCCTCCTGGATTCAAGTGATTCTCCTGCCTCAGCCTCCCAAGTAGCTGGGATTACAGGCACCTGCCACCATGCTTGGCTAATTTTTGTATTTTTAGTAGAGAGGGGGTTTCACCATGTTGGGCAGGCTGGTCTCGAACTCCTGACCTCAGGTGATCCACCTGCCTTGGCCTCCCAAAGTGCTGGGATTACAGGCGTGAGCCACCGTGCCGGCCGATGTGTACAGTTTGATCACTTAATTAAGGTGATGTCTGCAAGGCTTCTCAACTGAAAGTTACTCTCTGACCTTTGAAAAAAGTAAATATTTGGGGGGAGCTACTTTAAAACGATGTAAACATCTTGTTCCTCATCAAACTTCCAATCTATGTATTTATTTTATTTATATATATATGTGTTCCTATTTTATTCAAATGGTTATAGTTCATGACTCTCTTTTTTTTTTTTTTTTTTTTTTTTTGAGACGGAGTCTCGCTCTGTCGCCCAGGCCGGAGTGCAGTGGCCGGATCTCAGCTCACTGCAAGCTCCGCCTCCCGGGTTCACGCCATTCTCCTGCCTCAGCCTCCCGAGTAGCTGGGACTACAGGCGCCCGCCACCTCGCCCGGCTAGTTTTTTTTTTTGTATTTTTAGTAGAGACGGGGTTTCACCATGTTAGCCAGGATGGTCTCGATCTCCTGACCTTGTGATCCGCCTGTCTCGGCCTCCCAAAGTGCTGGGATTACGGGCTTGAGCCACCGCGCCCGGCCGACTCTCATTTTTTACTTTAATTTTTTAAACGTATTTTAAGTTCAGGGGTCCATGTGCAGGTTTGTGATACAGGCAAACTTGTGTCATGGAGGTTTCTTGTACGGATTAATTCATCACCCAGGTATTAAGCCTGGTACCCATTGGTTATTTTTCCTGATCCTCTCCCTCCTCCCACCCTCTACCCTCCATTAGGCCCCAGTGTATGTTGTTCCCTTCTGTGTGTCCATGGGTTCTCATCATTTAGCTCCTACTTATAAGTGAGAACATGCAGTATTTGGTTTTCTGTTCCTGTGTTAGTTTGCTGAGAATAATGGCCTCCAGCTCTACCCATGTCCCTGCAGAGGACATGATCTCATTCTTTTTTATGGCTGTATAGTATTCTATGGTGTGCATGTACTACATTTTCTTTATTCAGTCTATCATTGATGGGCATTTAGGGTGATTTCGTGTCTTTGCTCTTGTGAATAGTGCTGTGATGAACATACACGTGCGTGTGTCTTTATAACAGAATGATTTCTATTCCTTCGAGTATATACCCAGTAATGGGATTGCTGGGTTGAATGGTATTTCTGTCTTTAGGTCTCTGAGGTATCGCCACACCGTCTTCCACAATGGTTGAAGTAATTTACACTCCCACCAACAGTGCGTAAGTGTTCCTTTTTCTCCACAACCTTGCCAGCATCTGTTATTCTTTGACTTTTTAATAATAGTCTGGTGTGAGATGGTATCTCATTGTGGTTTTGATTTGCTTTTCTGTAATGATCAGTGATGCTGATTTTTTTTTTTTTTTCATGTGATTCTTGGCTGCATGTATGTCTTCTTTTGAAAAGTGTCTGTTCTTTTCCTTTGCCCACTTTTTAATGGAGTTGTTTTTTTCTTGTAAATTTGCTTCAGTTCCATATAGATGCTGGATATTAAATCTTATTTATTTTTATGCTTAAATTGTCTCCTGTTTGGCCAGTGGAAGCCCATCCAACTGGGCCACAATGTCTTTCACACATCTTCATCAGTCTTTGAGCATAACCTTGTTTTTTGGTTAGATGGTAAGATGTTCCCAGTTCACCTTGTATTTTCGATGCCTCAGCTCTGGAATCAGCCATTTCTCCAAGATGTTTTATTCTTTGTTTGTTTGTTTTTGTTTGAGACAGGGTCTCATTCCATCACCCAGGCTGGAGTGCAGCAACATGATCATGGCTCACTGCAGCCTTGACCTCCTGGGCTCAATCCTCCCACCTCAGCCTCCCAAGTAGCTGGGACTGCAGGGGTGCACCACCATGCCCACATAATTTTTTATTTATTTTTTTGTAGAGACAGGGACTCACTATATTGCCCAGGATGCTCTCAAACTCC